AAAAGTAAAAGCAATTGCATAAATGTTTTCATCTAGCAAAAGAGCATATGAAATTCATATCAAAATAATTCCTTTTTAATGCTAAGGTGTAATATTAATAAAAATAATTTTTAAGGTGGTTTGCTCTTTGACCTACAGAAATGTCAGAAGCCTTTTTTTCATCATATTAGATTCTCAGCATAATTGTATAAATTGTTTTCCTAGGTCACTGAATTCTTGATTTTTAAAAATACTTTGTAAGTGCTTATGGAATTTTAAAAATTATAATTAGATTCCCATTACCTAAAAATGTTAAAATCTCACTAAACAATAATCAAAAGTTTCTTAGGAGACTTTTTAAAAGTAGTATAAGCTTCTCCCCTGTTCCATAATACAAAAGTCATAACTGTTAGAGCTGAGAACAGAAAAATAATGATTAGACATATATTAGTAAATATTATATTTGAACAATTTACTTTAGCATCTAATATTATGAGAATAAAATGTTAATGTATATTACCCCACACATGATTAAGTTACAATAATTATCTCCCAATGGTGCTATGATTGCTTCACTTACTATACCAGAGCCAACATAAAATCTGAATTCAGATATTTTAATTCTATACATCTTCACAAATTTTAATCTGGCTTAATAGTCAAGTGGAAACATATTATATTAGAGCCATTTGATTCTAGTCTTGGTAATATTTCCAACAAGTTACCTTTTTGGTTCCTTGGAGGCCAAAGGCAACAACTTTGTTCCTAAAAATAAGAATGAAGCACACAACTATGGAGTTGCTGGAATTCTCTCTGTAGTCAGGTCAACATTATATAGATTTTCTTTTTTTCCCTTACGGGAGTTAAAGAATACTTTGGCACTTAAAAACAAAAATAAATCCAAAAATCCTCTAGAACGATGAAACAACTAGTTTTCTAAAGTAGAGATGAAGAAACACCTCAGAGCTACAATAAAGAGAATTCCATGAAATTTAAAGACATCCCCCCTTTTAAATGTATCTCTTTCCTAGAAGAAAATAATTCTCCATGGATTTTTTTTTTTTTTTTTGCCTCTAGCCCATCTTTACCAGTATAATTGAAAAAGAAGTCTGATGCAGCAAACAGTAACAACAAAATCTTCCAAGATATCCTGGCTGCTTTCCTGCGTGAATAGAAAATGAAATATATTAGTGGCAGAAATTATGGGGAAAATTTAAGCTTTTCAGTTATGGACTAAATTGCAAAAGTGTAAACTATATTTTAGCTAAATTTATTTAAATGTTTTATGTTATTAAGATGAAAATATTGACAAATGTAAATTTTAATTATATATTTAATACATTTTATAAGATTTTTCTTGTCCTCTTTTATTTATAACCTAGTATCATTAATTGTATTCTATGTGTAATGTTCTTAGTTGCAGGTGATTGACAAACGCCTATTTCACTAAGCGTAGGGATACTTGATCATGATAGTTGATTTCACTTAACTAAGTTCATTCACACTGACTTTTTCTCTGAAACAGTGCCAATAATATATATGTTAATAAGATTAAAGCAAGTATATATTTTTGCAAGGGAATTCCAACATTTTTATATGCAACAAAATAAAATACTTTGGCATAGTTGATATAGTGCTGGTTTATCACATAGATTATTTTAAAAACATGACCTATTATTAAGACACTTTAAGACATTGTATTTTCAATTTTGATAATTCTTTCAAATGTACAATGTTATCAAGTTCCACTCAAATTGTTTTCCAAAAAATCAGTCTACCCCCTCAAACTTACCAGATAATATAATATTCTCCACCTTTCATGTAATTCATAAAATTGAGAGACAAGCTAAATTAGAATTATTAGAAGAACTTTTAAAAAGTTAAACATTTCTATATATGTTAATGTATAACATTTCTATATATGTTAATATAAAATTTTGGAAAAAATAATTTTGCAAATATTTTATAGAACAGTTGAAGTTTCTCAAATTTAATTACCTAGAAAATTAAGCAGAACTCATTTATGAATGGTACATTTGTTTTAATGATTTTTTAAAAACATGAATTTTGGAAACAATCCAAAAGAAAAGGATATAGGAATTTCAGCCACATGAATCACACTAACAAAATAGGAAGTGCAGAAAAAAAATCACATTTTATATAATCAAAACTATGGAGAACATAGGTTTTTATGGCATCCCACCTGACCAGATCCCCAGCTCTGTCTTGGGTCATGTATTATTAGAACAAGTTTTCTGAATGTATATACACTAGGAAGAATGATGAGTGGTTAAAAAGAAGGTAAGCTATAATTTACTCAGAAAAACTTAAGGAAGAATAAAAGTGCTGAACAATTAGCACTAAAACCGGCAATAAGGAAAATACAGTGAATATAGGAAATAAAAAGACTTCAAAGCAGTTTGCTGAGATG